GAGAATGATCTCCAGATGGCCAGAAAAGGTTTTTAAATATGCTGCTTAAGGGCAGGTGCAGAAGTTCTTCTGCATGACTTTGGTATTCCTTGACTTGACTTTGGTAAGTCAACCTTGAGCCGGTGAGATTTGAACCGCCGAACTGCAGATAGCAGTCAGCTGAAGTGGCCTGCAGTACTGCACCCTAACCACTGCGCCACCCTGTATACTAATACAGGGTATAAATCTTTAACAAAGATATTCTAAGATAAACTTTAAAAAAAAGTTAGTATCATCTTTCATTGGAGCTTTAACTGGGATGCTGGGAGTTGAAGTCCATAAAGTTTGGGAAGATTTATTAGCCTGGCCAGAAGTTCGGGCCGAGAGCTCCCTTGCGGGAGGGCCAGAGGGAGGCAGTGATGAGCTGCCCATCATACTCACTTCCCCCTGGAGGGACGGAGGCTCCCCGTGAGCGTGCCCGGCCTCGCAGCCGCCTGCGCTCCCAAGGATATCCGCCATCGGGGCCGTTTCTGCAGAAGGCGCTTCTGGTCCTGAGCCTCCCCGGACAGCCGGGATTAGAAGCAGACGCGCCCCCCCCCACATACACCCCCCCCCTCTCTCTCTCTCCTCTCCGCTCAGATGCTTAACTCTGGCCAGACCTCCTAATGACATTAGTTCCGCTTCGCGTCCCCGGCACCCATTGATAAACCATCTGCTCCGCAGGGCCAGGCGATCGGCTGGGAAGCGTTACCTGAACGACCACTCACCATCACCGTGCAGTCCTCTGAGCCGCTGGCGATCACCTGGTCATTGTGAGGACACCAGTCAATGTCCAGCACTGGTCCGGTGTGGCCGCAAACGGTGGGGTACGACTTGTCGATTCTACCTGTCTGGAGAGGAGGAGGAGGAGGAGGAGAGAAAAGGAGTCACAGGTATGCTGAGGCTATTAGCAACAACGCGTCCTGGGCAGAACTCAACCAGGGAATGTTGGCAAGCAAAGGCGGGGGGTGGGGGGGGCTCAATCATTAAATTATGGTCTCCCTGCAAAGGTTTCCACCCCCCCGTCTGAATGATCCGGCTCTGCAGGAAAGCAGTGTTTGTTTGCGAGGAGGCCGGCCGGCTGCATCTCGTCCGGAGAAGGACCGACACGCCCTCCTTCCGGGCTCATGTTTACGGCTGGGTTTCCAGAGACGCTTTCCTGATCCTTGTGCCAAGTGACCCTTGGATTGCGGCCTGGGTGAGTGCGCAGCCGATGCTGGGAAGGTTAGCCGTGAAAAACCCGAAGTTCATTTTCTCCCAAAGGCTGCAGAAGGAGCAGCGCCAACCGTTGCTTCTGGCAGGCTGTCTGTGGCCTTGGGCCTGCAGGTCGGAATGGGGAGCAAGGCAGCCACTCGGCCGAAGGGGAGGATCAGAGGGAGCCTCTTGGACGAGAAAGGCCCCGCAACGCCTCCTGCCCTCAGGAGCCGCCACCCCTCTCCTCCCGGTGGGCGACAGCACTGAAGCGCCCCATTTGATCACAGGGGGACGGACAGACGGACGGATGGACAGAGAGACAGACAGACTAGATAGGCAGATAGATTGATATGTTGGTAGGTAGGTTCATAGGTAGGAACATAGATAGATGATGATAGATAGATAGATAGATAGATAGATAGATAGATAGATAGATAGATAGATAGATAGAGATAGATGAGAGAGAGAGAGAGAGAGAGAGAGAGAGA